GAACAAAAATCCAAAAACCAAGATATGGCTCACTCACTCATGAGATGAAGAAAGAGATGGTCATTAATGAAGCGAGAAGCATCAGGTCCACCATGTCCGTCATATACACCGACGAAGGTGGCGTCACGGCCGGTCTCCACTTGGCTGTGATCCTCAATAACTTCATTGGCCTGCACGACAGCGAAGGAGAATTCTCCATAGCTGTGCCTGTCGAGGCTTCTGCACCACAGCAAAGGGTCCTCCAACGACGAGTCCTCGACATCATCCTTGTTCATACGGGCATATCTCCTCAATGGCTTCCAACACGTACACGCTATCCTTGCCAGCCACGAAAACATCCCTCATTTCCCAACAACAACCCCAACAACTGATACTTTTCTCTGTAATCCGACAACCCTTTCGTGGATTTCTGGTGTTCTTTGAGAAAATTAAAGATTTGGGGTCGCGTTGATAAAGGTTCAAAATTTGGGAAGATTTTGGAGGTTTGGATTAGAAATCCAAAAGGGGTTGTTGACAAAAGGCTCAAAGGGTCTGGGTTTTTCCAGTCTTCCTTTGTCCTGGGTGTGCAGAGAGAGAGGTCTTGCGGGGTGGAAAGGGAAAGTTGACGAAAGCGTGTGAGAGGCACTCTATTTTTTCTTTCTTTTTTCCTTTTTTTTTTTAGGAATTTGCGCAAATACCACCTGAAGTTTCAGGGTGTATACATTACCCACCTAAAGAAATTTTTTTGACAATTACCCACCTAGACTTTAGCATTGATGTTAATCTACCACATCCGTTTGATTCCGTCAAACTTACGGATAAATTCAAGGGCATGTTTGTTTATTCAAAACAAAGAAATAAAAAACTAATAGAAATTTAGAAAATAAAAAGTTGCGGACGAAACAGAGAGAGATATGATGTGGGAGAAGGAGGTGATATGGGCTCCCATGGAGGTTCAAGGGCACATGGAGTCAGCAGTTGCACTGTGTGGGAGGGGGAGCTGATTAAGAGGAGTTGCGATGGAGGGTCAAATAGGGTTGAAAAGTCCGAGCTTCGAGAATCGGATCGTGCATTTAGGGTCGCAAATTCTTATAAAACGAAAATTTGAGGGAGATCAGATTAGAGAGATTCTGAAGTGAAAGCCAATCGCAAAGGTGAAGAATTTTAAAATTTGAAAAGTGATACATTGAGTTGACGGAATGTTAACAAAAATAGATTGAACTGGTAAGTTAGCACCAAACTTAAAGTCTAAGTGGGTAATTGACAAACTGTTCCTCTCGGTTGCAAATTTACACACCTTTGAAAATTCAGGTGGTATCTACGCAAATTTCCCATTTTTTTGGGTTTTTTCGATTGGTGTTTGTAAACTGACGTAAATGCCATTGGTGTAGTGATTAAACCACAGGTATGCCACTACACTGGGATGATAACCGGCCCGCGGATTTGGCAAAACTTTGTTTTCAAATTGTTTTCTTTCCTTTTTTTTTTTTTTTTGGCTAGAATTTAAAATATATTTTTTTCGTGGGGTCTCACCACTCACATGATTCATCTCCCCGACAACAAATTGTCCTTTTCTATTTGTTCAAAAAAAAAAAAATGTCTTTTTCTAAATTTCTCTCTAATTTCTTTTTGAAATTAAAAAATGACTGAAGGCTTTTAGTGATGACGACCTCATTTAGTAATATGAATTTAAAATGTAATGGGGGCATTGAGCAATGTGAAGTGTGCAATTAGAACCGCTCTTCACGCGCACTGTGAAAATAAAAGTACTCTATAAGGAGCTAAGACGGGTTATGCTAGTTAATTGTAGCAGTGTAAAGTCTCTTTATACTTAAATTCTAATTAGAGTAGTTTAAAAAATTCAATTTTGCTTTGTCATACAAATTTTTTACAAGCTACTGGGGTTAGCCTAGTGGTAAGGGCGGATATTTTGATGAGTAAGAGTGTACTAGATATAGAATTTAAAACCCTCCAATATGACAAAAAGAAATTCCGTGATAGATTTTAATAATTATAAAAATTTATGTCAAACTAGAAGATGAAATTGTTAGAACATCAAAAGTTTTTACAACCCCACTTTCTATTCATGATCAACTCTTGTATAGTTCGTTTAGAAGTATTTTTAAAATAGTTAAATGCACTTTTGATAAAAATATTTTTGAAACCAATATTTAGTAAAACTGTAAGTGCTTTTGGAATCCAAAATATTTTTTTCAAAAACGCTTTCAGTTATTTTAAAAGAACTTTTAAACAATCGTTAAAGAGAGTACAATCGATTAGCCACAATAAATTTCAAAAGTGTGATTTTTTTTTCTTTTCCTTACAATATTATAAATTGGGTGGAGCAGATTGCCTGTTGACCTTAAACTTTAATAAAGAGATTGTATGAAGCTTCCTTTTAGCATTGTAATGTCTTTAGATTCATACAAATTGAAATATATTATATCCCTCATCATGTGCAATGTGGAATGTGCAATGCAAGCGCAAACCTTTTTTTTTTTTCTTTACAACTTTATAAAATTTATGCATCTAATAACAATAAGCCATACCACTTATCTTCTCCAATTATATCCAACTATTTCAAACTAGTCACAATTATTATTTTTTTTAACTTAAATATATATGATTATATATATCTATCTATTCTATTAAGAGAAGAGGGTTTGTCAACTTTTTGCCTTATTTTTTTTTTTCCAATTTTGCCCTCACTTTTGAATACACAATCTTGACATGAGGAGGGTAAAATAGTAATTTTGTATCTTTTGAACTTTTTACCTTTTTTTTCTATTTTGCCCTCAGTTTTGATCCACAATATTTACATAAGGAGGGCAAAATAGTAATTTTGTATCAAAATATTTACATAAGATAAAAATACGCACTTATTAAGAGAAATTATCCCACCATCATTTTTTCATACAGGTAAGTGAAATCATGATGTTTTTTTGGATAGTTTGAATGAACTGAAGCGGTTGCGCTTGAGGAGAACGTGAGAGGAGTTGGACGGTTGTTCACACACAAAGTGTGTGCTCTCTGTTAATAATCTTTAAAGAAAGGGATCTCCATATTTTTTTTAAATGGGGATTAGTGGTGATGTTCACACTACATTGAACTTCAACGATCTAAACCACTTATTTTTCAAGTTGCACATCATAAATTATCTTTGCAAAATATTAGCCAAATCAGAAATATTTGAGGCATTTAATTGAGTTCAAAGAAATTGACGAACATTATGGTCTAAAAAACATTGAAATTTTATCTTAACAATCAAATCGGCAAACGGTTTCGGATTGAATTGAATTTTTGTAAGGATAATCTATGAATCGAGACTTATAAAATAAACTGTTCGGATAGTTAAAGTCGATGTGGTTTAGTCCCCACAACTAATCCCTATTTTTTGAGAAAAATGAAATCTCTCTCTAGTTAAGGAGCCCACTCTACATGGAATTTCAACGATCCGAATTGTCTATTTTCATAGATCATCCTTGCAAAAATTCAATTCAATTTAAAACCATTTGTCTATTTAATTACCAAGATAAAATTTCATTGTTTCTTATATAACAAAGTATTCGTTAATTTCTTTGAACCCAATTAGATATCTTAAATATTTTCGATTAGCTAATATTTTGCAAGAATGATCTATGAGGTACAACTTGAAAAATAGACGGTTCAAATCTTTAAAGTTCGATGTGTTATGGATTCCACAACTAATCCCTATTAAAAAAAAAATGAAAATCTCTTCCGACTTCCTCTATATATTTATTTGAGTAGACTTTTGTGGACAAATATATTCGGTCATATCAGACGATGATATCAGATCCAAACCTAGAGAACACGTGTGAGTGATGTGGGTCGGTGTAACCATGAAATGTAAAGTTTATCAAAAACCCTTTTGTCCTTTTATTATGAACGGAGGAAATGCAGCAGAGGTAGGAGGGACGGCATCGGCACGTTGCTTTCCAAGAAACTAAAAAAAATTAAAGGGTCTGAAAACACATGTCGCATGTGAGCAACCCTGGCTTTTGCCTTTCTGTCACAGCATTCACTGTTCAGGTTGCCTGCTGCCTCTCCATCTCTCTCTCTGTGTCTAACATAATCTAGAAAGACGATGAATCCCCATTACAACACAAGGAGGCATTCATGGGATGGATGATGGTACAGTTGCAAATTAAAAGATGATGCAGTTGCCACGGATGGGAGGCAGATTGTCCGCCCTCCTGTTTATGTGTCATTTCCATCATTTCCTATTTTGTACGATCACGGTTAAATCATGTTAATATTTTATATTAATTTTTTTATAGAGATAATAAGACAAAAAACAATTGGAATATAAAATGTTAACTTAACCGTGACCGCATAAATAGAAGAAGATGGAAAAGACATCCAAACAGGAGGCCAGACAATCTGCCTTGCCACGGATGGGATCATATTTGACTCCATCAATCCCATCAGACGGTTATGCTGTCTCCTTGTGGCCAATGTCACATGTCCAAGTGCTGCTCTTTTATTTGGCTAACAAATTGGGTTGGAAACTCCATTTTTGCCATATAGAGGAGGTGGAGAATTTTACTAGCAGGGGTGGACACAGTTCGGATTGAGTGTTGGCTTTATCGAAAATGATTTGGGTCGACTAGTTATTTGGGTTGAAACTAGACTGACCTGATTGTGTCAGGAAACTAAAACCACATACCAAACGAGTAAAATTTGTGAAGCATATTTATACTAATAGACAATGATTTTAAACGACACATTCTGAAAATGGACGCGAAAAAGGAAATCTGTTTTCTTACATAGAATCATTCATATATGTGTGGCTATGAATAACATATTGATTTTTATTTTTATATGGATCCATTTGATTCCTGTTTGATTCGTGCGAGCTGGATGATGAAAAATTATCATGTCTGGTTCTTTCGAGGGATGGATTTAGAATAATTCACCTATCCTAATAACAAAAAACAACCGGAAATGTTAAAAAAAAAAAAAAACAAAAACAAAAAAGAAGTAGGATTTTAAATGACACATTCAGAAAATGGACGATTAGATTAATAGCTCCGACTGATAATCTAACAACAAAAGCACTTACAATTCCTTATACATAAATAATAAATTAGAAAAAGAATGAAGAATACAAGTTTGATGCAAAAATTTGGGGTTTCAACATAGAAATTTCTGAAATTTGAAGTAAGAGAGTGTTTGTGTGTTGAGCTAGACAATGTCATTGATCAAACGCTTGTGCCTATTGTAATGCTTTTCCATGAAAACCTTTGAAGCTCCTTCAATGGTCCTTCTCCATGTCTGCACAATAACATCATCACAACACACAGAAAAACCAGTAACATCAATATAAGTTGACTTTTCATTTCCACTTGTAATAAACAATGTATTAAAAATATTCACAAATCTTCATCAACTGTGTATTGTTTATTTTACTCAAAAAACGACCAGAGTTATTTTTGTATTGATCTACTCTAGAAGTAGAACATATCAACTATAGGTCTAATCTAATTATAACACGTGAAAAAAAATACTCTCGTGATTTGTGTTTCAGTACCAATACAAATTTCTCTTATCAATCAATGAAAATTAACACTAAGTTTACCCTCTCAGTACCAATAAAATTTGGTTAGCTGGCAGATTGGACCAAGCTAGTGACAGCTCTACCAACAGGTCCAAAACGCTGCAACACAGAGTTGCTGCAACCCTAAACCCTAGTGGACAATCCACAGATGAGCCTCAGATCACAAAAGAACTGATGCAGTATTATTTCGGGCTTAGGGTTTACGATTTAGAGCAAAAGGAGTAATGGCGTATTAGTTTTTCACAAGCGATATTGGAGAAAGGATAATCAATGGAAGACCTCAAAATCTCGTATGTAAGTGAGTGTGCAACAAGGACAGGGCCAGAAATTTTCAATTGGGCGGGCTACCTAATCCGTTACTAATATAGAGAATTCCTAATGAGTTTAATGCTACTAAGTTTAGTTTGGGTGGGCTACAAGGTTTGATTTGAGTTACAACCCATGGTAACTTTGTATGTCGCTATTCTTTTCAATACTCTTAATTACTTGAGCTACAAGTCTCGAAAACGTTTTCTAATAGTTAATTTTTGATTTATTTTATGAAATGTTGGGGCTCTTTGAGCACTATGTTCAACAGATTAAACAAATAATTATAAACTGATCTCTTAAAAAGCATTTGCGCCTGCACCTGAGATCCCGAGTTCGGGATCTTTTTCTCCTCTGTAGATTGTATCTCGACACATATTTTATAAAAATAAACATTTCATGTAATGTAATAAATAATAAATAAAAAATAAAAAATCTAACCTTGCGAATTGAACCGAAGAGGGACTTGTTCCTGATATCCGTCGCCCTGAGGTGTGAAGCCCTGCCGCCATGAATCCCAATTTTCCTAAACAACGCCTTGTTTTTAGTCCCAGCAGGAAGCAGAGACCTCCTCTCCACCAATCCAGTACTCCTCCCGTTCGACGGACTATCGCACTGATGATCCCCTTCCCCGTTCAACCGGCTTCTTTTCCGGCGCTTCGACATCCTCACCGCCAGCTGTTTCCTCGCCGAGGCATCGGCCTCGTCCCCGGAATCAGCAAATTTCCTCAGCAGCTCGTCTGAAGACTTCTTGGTCACATGTTGAACACTAGAACAAGTAGTAGGGGTTCCAGTAGTGAGAGATTCCATTGTAAATTTGTAAAATTAGAGAGAGAGAGAGAGAGCATGCAAAATTGCAATGTGGATTATAATGTATGTTTTTGGGTTGGCGTAATTTGGTGATTAATAATGTACGTACACTGTATGTGTGAGAAAATGGAAATGGACCGTTAGAGTTAGTGAATTATTATTATTTGAATAATTGGGGGAGTGAGGGAAATATAGCCGTTATAAGAGACAAAGAGGAGCCTGGAGGTGCAGTGTATGTATGTTATTATCTGATGAGATATATATTTCCACGACAAAAATCCCACGTTCAATCCTGACATGCATTTGCAGTGTTGTTGCGGATGCGGAGGATGTGGCGAAGAGAAAGTTGGATCTGATTCCGGGTTTGGGACCAAGCAACGGTAATAATCTGGGTTTGGTGAGAAATTAGGCCACAACCTGTCGTTTTGATAGTTCTGTTTGAGTTTAAACCAATTTTTGTACCACTCTCGCCCCCTGGAATGAACTTGTTCAACCCCTTGGACCACAAAATTATAATTTTTCAGACAAAATGCCCCTTCTCTTTTTAAGGAATAGTAGTTGACTCTGCAGGTAAAGTGCCGTTTTTCTTTAGATGAAGTTGCGTCATTATTTTATTGTACAAATCTTATAGTACCAACCGATTTTCTTTATCCTTATCTAAAGATCGTCTCTAGAAAAATATATTTAATTTGAAAATTGTTTAACCATCCATGTGTCGAACAAATCAACTTTCGTTTAGGTTAACAAATAACATCCTCGTGATCAACCATCACCTTGTTTGATTCATATAACTAAGGGAGGCTTGTGAAGATTTTGAAAATCTTTTATACTACGTAATTTAGTATCTAAATGCATTAAGATAATCAATTCAGTCGTTGTGATATGACTCTAAAATAGATTTTTGACCACATTCTCCACAGGGCCATCTTATCTCTTCCTTCTCCAAGCTCAGATTATGGAAGAAGGAACTAGGAGCAAAATATTAACTGTTTCTAAACCAAATGAAATTTTCTAGAGATTGATAAAGAGAATGAACTGTTTAAATTATGACGTTTGTACAGTGAAATCATTTGCACAATGAAGATAGAGAAGTAACTAAAGAAATCTAATGCCTGAATAATGTTTAACACCACATCGTCAAAAATTGTATCAGTTGATAAAATTTACATCCCACGTTTGGAACTTGAAAGCCTACTTGAAAATAAATACCATAAAGATTACACCAAAAGCCATTTGTAGAACATATATAAGATATTCAACAAGCAAATGTTACAATAAGAAACAAATACACACTCTGGCTCCGCATATTCCATCCATTCGGATTTCTTTTCAATGGATCTTCACAAACGCTGTTAGAGGATGTCTTCGGATGTCTGAAATTTCGAATTTTAACTGAGAAAATTTCAGTAAGCATCTTAATGTTGGTTTTGGGACATGCATTTCCATATGTTCAAGAAATTCCGTACATGACAACATCTCGACAACACATCAATAGTATAGACTTCTTTCAAGCAAGTTGGATGAGTTAAAAATCCATCGAAACGAGTTTTGAGTTATCAGTGCTTCTATGACATTACTTCCAGATATTTCAACTAAAATCAATTAGCATGTTGTGCCATAAAGCATCATAATTTTGCGTTCTTTCAGAGTTTTTATAACTTGATCTTACAGGAAAAGCCTTCTTTCTAATCTAAACTGAAAGTTTGATAAAATATACTTATACATCTCCTTTGATTATCACTTGTAAAGAAAACATTGACCGGAGGCAAATTACGAAGAAGTCAGAACTGTAATTGATGAACTCCATACCTCGTTATGAGCTGAATTGAGTCCCAAAACTGAGCGTATGGCATTCAAGATTCCCCAAGTTTAACTGTATAATTGGGAAACACCGACATAAGCATGAATGTGAGAAATTATCCAACAGATGTACGCAAAAACTCGTCTAACATCATGAAGACATCAAAATTTATTCCTCGAGAAGTTCTCAGCATGCTCAAATATCAAACAGCTTACCACAACAGCAATTCCCGTCTCACAGAATTTAGGAATGCTAATGAGTCTTACCATCTGCCCTTCAGATCCTGCAATTGGAAGTTTGTAGACCATTCAAGTGATGAACATAAAAAATAAAAAATAAAAAATAAAAAATAAAAAAAATCCATTTTTGGCATGAAAAATATTTTTATTAAATGATTACTGAAGTTACAAGAAAATACCCTTTACTAAGCGACTATCATATTTATCCTGATTACCAACAAAGTAAACATGAGGACAACTCTCGATCAGGAATGGATCCCTGTCCGTGAAAGGATAACACCCTGAAACATAACAATAACAGGAGAAACTCAAACAAAAACTCATGGGAAGATCAAAATTACAAAAGATTGTCTTAATTATTTTCATTGTTTATTCTCAAATTGGAGACAAATTTCAGCCAAGCTGAAATTTCCAAACCAGACAACCACTTTAACATAGCAAATTGATTTGGATGACCAACAAAACTACACAAGTAAAAGATATAATTCATACCAAGAGTATTAGGTGCTGTTGGTGCCAGATGCCTCCACTTCAATGTCCTTTCAATAAAATCAAGTTTATCCTTTGCTTCTGAATACTTATCAAGATCATCTATATTTTGGCCCGATGTTCCAAGAAACCTGAAAACCACAATACCAGTACGTCAAAATAATTACTCCACAAGAATTGCCAAAACAGAAATTTTGATCAACAATGCCAAAGTCAAATTAGATCTACAATTTTATTTTACCTGACATCGTCAAGATCAAAGCAATGAGGATTGGTACATGATCTAAACGTGTTATAAGCCGATGATCCAGGGAAAAGGCATCTGTTCAAAGGCTGAAAGGAAAAGCATATCAGCAAAAAACAAACCTGCTGAGCACGGAATAGTTGATATATATATACTTTCACGGACATAGATCAAACCTGCTGTGGCAAGGCAAAATTAGCAGGGTCATCGAGACCAGGCATTATATCCAAAGGCAAACCTGCAGCAATCTAGAATATGTAGATTAAAGCAGTGTGGTTCATGATGCGAGCAAAGATGAGGTATATTGATTAATTAAATGACTAAACAAACCTGAGTCAACAATATATCCAACTCCTTAATTGGCTCAGACAACCTTGATTGGTCCTTTAACGCTAAATTCTAGCAACAATGAACAAAACGACTATTAAAAAGAAAACTGCTAAGTTTTGCTTGTAGCAAATAAACCTATCAGGCATCTCAATTAAAATCTTAAGAAACTAAACTACAAAAGGTTTAGGTTTCCATTTTATTATTTCAATGAAGATTAAAAAACTTCAAAACTATATTTGTTCACATTGCCCTCTCCACCAACAGTTTATAAGAAATCATTAAAGTTAAACAATCATATTCATCCTTATTATCAGAAAGATCTAAATGGTTTACCTGTCCATTAAGAAGTCCACGAGGAACCTCAATAGAATTTCCAGCAATTACAACATGAACTATTTGTGCTGCAATACCTTGTTCCTATTCAATGTTATACAAAGTTAGCATGTTAAGACACTTTTATATATAATGCACAGCACACAATAATGAAGGATAAGACGGCACAAACCTTCTCATCTCCTAAATGTCCTGTTATATGATCAACAAGAAGCTGAAACTGCAGAGGGTTTAAAGAGCTGCTTCCAACACGAAGTCCAGATACAAAAACAACATATTTGCCTTCTCCTGTGTCAAACAAATTAAAATTAGTATAAAATGGTTGAGGTAAAGGTAATAGTGGAAGAACAAGAATACTAGAGGAAATGAGAAACTAAATACAAGACAAACATTGTATAAAAAATAGAAATATAAACAGTAACTTCCTTTTTCCTTTTTACTTGTAATGAAAATGGCATTGTAACTTCCTAGAACTGAGAAAACTTGAACAAGTATAAAGGGGACTAAAAGCCAAGACTCTCCACTTAACAAGCAAAGGTTTTAAGTTGCACTTTCTGTGAATTTAGCTCCCCCTTAAACATATTTTTTTATAGCTAAAATTGTCGAACATACTTTTGCATAAATTCGACGTTTTTTCAAATGTACATTTCTCACCTATATTATAATTCTAGCATTACTCTCTTTCAATCTCTGCAACAGTTTGTCGTATTCAACTTGCATGAATTGGTTTAGATTCCAAAAGTTATTAGACCCTTCTATAATAATATTAAACAATAAGGTGAAAGTCTAAAGAAACAAATGGCCAAGCACAAACATTTCTGCAAAGAAGAAAATTTGCAAAGTAAAAAGAGAGGGAGAAAATTCAAAGATTATACTTGATTTCAGTGGCAATTCTATCTGGGGTGGTAAGCCAGCTTCAAGGACATCTAGGACTAAGAAGTCACCGGCATCAGTCTCCTTTCCATGTAAACCAACAACAGTCCCTACCAACATGTTAATGTAGAATGAGCCGTGATACAGAAGCCAAGTCGGAAATTAAGAAATTAGAGTATTTCAAGTTTCTTATGCAGTTTACACATTTACCGTTCATTCCTTTGAGTCCCTGTATGTTATAAAAATAATGCATTAAGTGTCATATATTAGTCTTTAGAATTTCTAACTATGTGGACCTTTCCATATTCATTTACCAATTAGCCTATAAAAAGGGCTAATTTTCAAAAAAGGAATGGATACACCATTGGTGGAAGTGACTCCAATACAGCTTTGGTTTGATGCTGAAGGCAAGAGTGACTCTGGATATCTTCTATGTTCCTAGCTATTCCTATCCTACATTACCATGCTTCAAATATATTGATTCATAGTAGAATGTTAAGCAATTTGGACTCTTCCCGACCATAATCAAAACAGTTCAAGTAACTATTTTTCTTTGTTGTAGTATCTTTTTACACAGACCTGTTACATACACAGTAGGTGAAAGCACATTCCCAGAAAGCTTAACTCTTCCACTTTCATCTTCCAAAATCAGATGGTCATCCGGGTGCACAAAATTATGAGGCTTGACAAGTGGTGTCACAGTTCTCTGTAAAATTTACAGTATTATAAACAAGTAAAGTAGAAAATCTCAGAACTTAGTAATTAACATTGCACAAGTACACTACCGTCTTAGAGTACTCATCAAGGACACAAGGCTTGAGTTTCATGTCCTTGTAGAGGGTTCCAACAACGATGCATTCCTTGTCCCTTTCCAATTCCAAAACTGTGCAAACTACAACACCATACAGAACACCCAATATTTCAGATTGCGATTTTAACAGAAAGACAAAACACTGATACTTCACACTTAACATAAATGAAAAAAAAATCCCAACAAGTAGCCAAAAGAAAATCCTGCCTTCATTCTAACCAAATGACACGTACGAACAGTTGACCCCCATTCTTCCTATCAAAATTATAACTTTCTGCAAACCCCTATTTCAGTAAGAAGAGATTTTGATATGCAGATATCATAAAAAAAATTTAAAAAAAATAAAAAAATAACATGACAATCGATGCAAAAGATTGAAACTTTAAATTAATTTATACAAAGCCGATTATCTTCCACAGGTAGCCAATTCAAAGACAAATTTACGGGCAATGTGCTATCAACTCCGTCGAGAACGCCATTTAACAAGAAAACGAAATCTAAAATTTAGAAAATGCTGAAGTAAATAAAAAAAATTGAGAACCTGGCAAATAGGGTTTCCAGTTAGGGACAAGTGAATAGAGGAGCGTCCTCATCATATGTAGACGGGCGAAGTATATTTGGCTGTACTGTTGACCCCTGTACATTTCCTTCTGAATCTCAAACCTCTCGTCCTACAATTAAGTTAATTAACACATAATCTCAAAGAAAATAAAAGCCCAATAAACAAACTTTGAATCAAGAAGTAATTTCATGATAGTTGCTCAGAAAATGTCAGTTGTGGCTCGTAATTTGGGAACGGTTGCTGAGAAACCCTAGAAAAAGAACTGAACTTTCGGAATGAGCAAGAAAAAATTTATACTTTCTCGGCAAACAAACAAGTTGATGTAAGAAGTAAAATTTCTTGACAGAGAGAGAGAGAGTATAGACCAGCAAGGTGTAGGCGCAATGCTTTCTGTGGAGGTTCTTCTCCGAATCGATTTCCATGGCTTCCATGGCGGGAAAATAAGAAAGAGCAGCAGAGAATTTCACCGGCCGAAGCTAAGTAGGGCAAACTAAACACTGATTATTCTCGATAAATCTGCTAATATCATATCGAAAAGTGAAGATGGGGATGTAGCTCACATGGTAGAGCGCTCGCTTTGCATGCGAGAGGTACGGGGTTCGATACCCCGCATCTCCAAATTTCACTTTTTTTGTCAACCTCGTATTTATCCAATGACGAAAGTACCCCTCCCTCGGACGCACGCGAGCTTCCCTCGCACACTTCAACCACGCCTCTCACTGTAGCATCAGACTATTCAACGCCACTACACTTCTCCTCTCTCAGCTCTCTCCCTAGGGTTTCCCTCTCTCCAATGGCGTCCGTGCAGAGCCACCTCTCTGCCGTTTCTTCGATTGCCTCGCGCTGTTCGTCTCCGTCTTCACCGCCGTCGTCGTCCTTCTCTTCGACCGCTGCCACTTCGCTGGTCCCCGTTGGCCGGTCGCCGCAGTGCCGCCGGAAATGTTCCGGAGTGGGGATGATTCGGCTCCGGCGGTCCGTGTGCCGAGCGATGGTTCAGCAGGCCGTGCCCGGCGCTTCTGCTGCGTATGCTAAGGAAATGGAGAGGCTTTCCGCCAAAGAATCGCTGCTTCTCGCTGTGAGCCTGTGCAATTTTACATAGAATTCTGTTAATTAGAAGAGAAATAGTTAGCTTTTTGCACTAATTGGTTGTTTAGGAAGTTGTAATGAGAGTCATGGCAATTGTAAGGCACTATTTGGTTGCTATTTTCAAATTACAAGTGTGCTGATGCATTCAGGTTCAAAATGATCGGGATTACTGAGTTTCGTATGTGCGTCCCACTATTTTATAGGAATGAAACTCATGAGACCTATATAGTAACAATTAAACTCTCGTTTTCGATCAAATTTTCTAGTTCATTGTGTGATGTTGATTTTAATTTTTAAGAACCTTTTGTATTAAAAGTAAAAGGTCTTGTTGTAGAATTTCTCTGTCAAAAAGTTAATGTGAAAACCTTTTGTTTCAGTTTAAGGATGCTGGGGGTTTTGAGGCGTTAGTCACAGGGAAGACAACAGACATGGAGCGGATTGATGTGAATGAGAGGATAACTGCTTTGGAACGAGTCAATCCAACACAACGTCCTACAACGTAAGCGCATATCTGAACAATGCATTACAACACCTTTTCTTTTTGGTTTGGATGAGATGTTCAATGGTTTGTTCAGCTACCCAGGTCGCCTTTTTTGGAAGGTCGATGGAATTTCGAGTGGTTTGGATCTGGAAGCCCACGTCTATTTGCTGCCAGATTTTTGTTTGAGTAAGTGCTGCACACGTTTATCTATTTCATTGTTTGGTTGGTCTAGAAATTTTTCTGGGTTTTTATATGTAATTAATTTGAAGTTTGAATTAAAAGGTAGCTTACTGTATTGATGCATTTAAGCAATGTTTCTATTGCCGCAGGAGGTTTCCTTCAACTTTGGCTAGTTTGACAAAAATGGAGGTGGTCCTCAAGGATGAGAATGCAAAGATTACAGCAAAATTGAAAGTGTTGAACTCGGTATATATTTTTACTTTAAAAGTCCTCAGTCCATTGTATATGTCCAATTATATGAGGGTAAATACCGCACTTGTCACATATCCATGTGAAATCACAGCTCTAGCACAATTTTAAGGACATTGAACTGACATGAATCATATTTATGCTATAACAACAGCGTTTGATTAAGGCAAGTTGGTTTATGCTATAACAACAGTGTTTGGTTAGGGCAAGTTGGTTGTGTTTGCACCAGAACCTTGGCTTGCATGTGTAATTTGTTGAGGTACCACATCACAAGAGCAGCCAGTAGATCTCTGTAAACCAAATTTTTCAACTTGTTTTCATCCTTTTTCCTGGAAACTTAGGAATAGTAGCAAATAGCCCATCTAATTAAATTCATGTAATATGGTTGTTAGATACAAATGAAAGTGAGAAAGGGAGGGAGAAAGAAGTAAAGGTTTTAGTCTGCTAGTATTTTCTAAGATAAGAAATAGTGAAGCCATACTTTTGATTTAGATATGATGTTACCTATCATTTCTTCTATTTGTCTGTTCTGTTTGCATTCTGATATAATTTTTTAATCTGAGCATTCACTATGAAACTCGCGCTGGTGCTGTGCAGATAGAAGGCAAGTTTACTTTGTCAACCAAGTTAACTGTGGAGGGACCAGTTCGAATGAAAGAGGAATATGTTGAGGGGGTTCTTGAGACACCAAAAGTAATTGAAGAGGCAATACCAGACCAGCTAAAAGGTGCACTTGGTCAGGCCGTAAACATAGTGCAACAACTTCCTCTGCCTATTAGGGATGCCTTTTCCAGCGGGCTGAAAGTTCCTTTAAGTGAGTGTGATGCTTTTCTGAGCCAGTTATTTCTTTATCTTAATTGCATGGTTGAGTCTCAAGCTCCAGTAAACTCCTTTAAACGTGTTGTCAGAATAATATCTGCCATGATTTGGGCTTGTAATACACAATGAAACAGTACTTGTATATTAAATTATGGATAACCAACTATTGGGATAGAAGATGCTTGCGAATTTCTTTGCAGTCTATGAAATTTGAATCACTTCAATCAAGCCATAGTCAGAAGAATATGTGCTCTTTTGTGGTCAGGTACTATTTAGTATTTACTAAGACAGTATATGAACGTTGGAAACTGACTATTTGGGATAAAGATGCTAAGATGCTGGGGAGTTCTTTTATCCTATGAATCCTAACCCTCCCTGCATGTTAATCAGCCGTTACGTCTCCTTTCTGTAAATCCAAGGGTGCCAATAGTCTTCTGTGAGGTACTGTTAGCACTTGATCAAACGTCATATGCCTACCTTAAAATTTCTGAAAATGTTGTTGCTGTTCTTTAAGTCTTTTAATTTATTTCATTTTTTTATATATATACAATTTTTTTTTTCTTTTGAACAAACAATATTATCTACACTAGGGGTGGGGGAGTGGGCTAAGCCTCACATTAGGCTAGCAATAATGTGATTCAAACTCTCCTTTGGCGAGAATCTAACCTAAGACCTCTCACTTACAAGTGAGGAGGAATACCACTAGACCATAGTTAATCTTTCCTTTTACAGTAGAAGTTTTCCCTTTATTTCCCTGTTAATTGAATTTAGGTGGAATTAAGAGAGCTATAAAACATTTGCTTTCCTTGAAAGATGAGCTGCTTCTTCTTCCTTCTCAAAATGATAAATACCTAAGTCTGAAGGGGCAGTCATTGATGGTGACTATGGGTAGTGGTACGATATCTTGAAGGAGATTTTTCTATCTGTAAATGTAAGTCTCTCATGTTACTCTCTGTCAGTTAGAATTTTTTTGTTGGTTGTCCTAAATACTAAGGTGCTCTAAAGCATGGCCATAACCAGAGAATAAATCTTTTGACTGAGATTCAAACATTGTGGCATCAACTGCTGAATATGCTTGATCTGTTTGCAGTCTAGAATCCAGAATATTAAGGGGATGTTTGGTATCCTTCTTGGATCCAATTTTTAGTTTTAAAATGATGAATGTAGTGAAATTGCTTAGTACTTGTTAGTTTCAAAAACAAAAAAAATGGATCCAATAACCCTCATTCAATTTTGTAGTAGCATATGTTGCACCTTGCTAAAGCTCAATCCGATAACCCTCGCCCAGTTTTGCCTTATCTCATTTTTTGCCTATATGCTAACCTAGCTCCATATTAAGTGGTTATGTGCTCACGTGTTATTTGTGTTAGTATGTGCTGCTCCCTGCTAATGCTCTATCCAAGATGATAAATTAAAGCATAACTTTCTACCCTCATCCCATACTGATTTCTCTCCATGTTCACCCAGTTCTTATTATGAATCCATGCTGATCATTTACTTTGTGCATGCAGCTGGAGCTTTTGAGAGACTCTTCATGATCTCCTATCTTGATTCGGAGATACTTGTAAGCATTATACTGCGTATTAATCTTGTGGTTCAGTTTCAATTTGTTTCACATGCGTTTTACTTCGTAAAAATATGACCCCTATCTCACTATGATTAAGAGAATTGCAGGGCTACAAAAAAATAATTAATCTGCTTAGTTTGACATATCAAAACTTGGTGAAACTTAAAACAGGTGGTTCATTTATGTTTTAAATAGTTTTAAAATATAGCTAAATTAATGGGAAAACATCTCGCATGAGGAAGTTAATTTGTAGAGGAAGATGAAGTTATTTCCCTTTTCTTGGTAGCAACTGCAATAAATTTTCCTTTCCTTGCCATGGGAAAGAACTGAGAGTCCTCATGTTTTTCCAAAAATATTTAATCTGATGCATTTTCATGTGTGTGGTAGAAAGTTTTCTAAATTTTAAAATACATTCGTAAAGAGGGTGAAACTTATAAATGCATCATGTATGCTGTTTTTATTTATTTTTTTTTTTTGTATTCAGAATCCACTGTTTTCACTAGACACTAGATAACGACCTTGACTAATTTCATTAGTCTGTGCTGTTTTATTATAGAACTATCTCTGGATATTGCTATAAATAAATCTTACTTAGCATGTAAGATTTTCTGACTGTTAAAGTCTGCATCAACAGACGAACGATTGAACACTATTTTCACAAACCCCGCACACAAGTTTTGTAGAGTCAAACTTAGACATTTGAATTTTGAGTGGTTTACCTCATCCAAAAGCTTTGCTCATACGGTTGACAGTGAGAGGAGTGATGCATACGTTAGGGGCTATATGTGAGACGCTGTTCGTTACTTTTAATTGTAGGTGGTAAAGTATTTGGTCTGTGAGTAATGTATGTGCATTAGAAACATTTTCACTCGTAATCACCATATAAGATCATTTTAATGTTCGATATATTGAAGTTGCTGTGTAGCACGTTATATGTTATCACGTTTTGAGTTCTTTAACTGGGTTTGGTACAGATAATACGAGATGCTGCTGGAGTTCCTGAAGTTCTTACAAGGTTGGAGTCTCCGCTGGAAGAAAGCGTCATAGAGTATGAAAGCTAAAAGGTGCTTTTATGTAAGATAACTCAACTTTTCTACTTTTTCCACATATTTGAGTTAAAAAAAAAGTTCTATATTTACCACTTCCTCTCTTACTATTTCCGTTTTATGTCCCGAAATTCTTCCAAATAATCGGCGATGAAAATATTAAAATTAGTTGAAATGTTTCCGTCTTTGTAAAATACTAAAAGTCAAGTCAATGAACCAAACTTTGAGTTGGGTTCGGGTTTGTTGTCCTCTGGAAGTCTTGAGCATTTTTAATGTGTTTTATTTTTAGTTGTGTGTGATTAATTACTAATTAGAGATTAACTGGATAAGAAGTGGGATTATATTTGCTAAATTAAGGTTGCTGTCAAGTGTGAGAATGTTTGACTAAATTGCACCACGTTGTTTGACTAAGATGGGCTCTCTGCTGTCTTGCTAATTTCACATCAAGGCTCGCAGCCTCTCAGCCTCTCAGCCTTGACCTTACATCACCCGGAAGGGCATTCCAATATTTAATTCGGAAAATGATTTTCACGCTCCCGTTTTACTCCTCGTGCACTCCTCTACTTGTTTCTGCACCTTAATCCACCGTTAATTTATTCAATCTTGTGACTAGAAACCCGCGGACGGTGCAGAGGATAAAGGAGAGTGAAAATCGCTTCCTTTTTTCTTTTTGGTTTGATTAGTCTGTTTGGTTTTCCTTGGCCTGGTGATGAGAATTTTTTTTCTAATCCTTACGGAATTGACTTAAAACTTAAGGAACCTTGGAGGTGTATAATATGTGGTGTAGCTTCAACTTCAAATCAATTTCTATAGGATGGTATGATATTTTCTTCCTATACCGTATACTCGGAAATATGCATTCAAATATGATTCTGCTTGATTAGTGGTAGGCTTTTTAGTTGAAATGGCCTCTGAGATTGGCATAACTTCTGACTCTGGTCTCTGAGATTTAAAATTGATAGAAGTGGTTGTTTAGATTGTTCGTCGTCAATTATTTTGATCATTTTGTGAAAATTTTCTATTAAATTGAAGATATTTTTGTCAAATCAATCCTTCCACTTGAATTGGTGATTTCTTTAATTGAACAGAGTTTTTTCATAGAATAACCATAATGATCGATGATGGGGAATCTCAGTAATCACTTTCATCAATTTAAATCTCAAGGACCGGAATTAGGAGTTCTAACAATTTTAAGGACCATTTCGGCCAAAAAGTCTGTGGTATGAGGATGTAGGCTTGTAACACCTTCCACTAGATATCGATTTTAAACCGTTCATTAGGGTTTGAAGCCTCCCCATGTTACCACTGCCTCGGTTTTCCATGATTCTACTTCTGAATCCGGTCTAATACATTACCGGAAGAATATAAGATAAAAATTAGAGGTAACAAAATCGCATAAACAAATTTATATGGGATTAGTGAGAATTGAGCATCTTATTCAGTTGTAACAGTAAATACTCTGAACTACTTAAGTGAAGTTAACGGGGCTTGCTGCTCAACCATCAAGAGAATTCATCCTTACACTCGCGGAGGTCTTGTGTTTGACTCTACCTCTCCCACAACCACATAACAATTAGCAAAGAGAGAAATCGAACACAAGAACTTGTCGTAAATGCTCTCTATCTGCTTACAAATTTTGGAAATATGTTTAATGGTTGACCCTTGGTGTACGGTCGTTGTGTGATGACACATTAAAGCATCGTCAGAGGCACAAATGGTGCCTTGAGTAATCCCAGTCCCACCGCCATCTTAATTATTTGCAAATAATAAATTCAACAAAAACTTGACTTTCCACCGCTGTGTCTTAAGTCAACTATTAATATAAACTGTGAAATTGGGTTTTTTTTTTTTAAATTTTTTTATTTTTTATTTTAGTTCTTATAATTTAAGTTTATCTAACCAAATGTGTTCACTCGCACAATTATAGACGATCAAACTGGTTCGTATACAGAGGATATTTTTTTGAATAAAGTATATTATCAACACTAAGCGGGTGGAAGAGTAGATTAATGAAGGATTTTTCTAGTTAGGAACAACATTGAAGGATGACTTAAAATACAAATGTTTGCGGTCAAATAAATGCATTTTGGAGTAGCCATAATAATAAATTGTGCAACTTTTTATGTAGACGAAAATGATAGCATTAGCAATTTTATTAAATATCAATGAAGACATTTGAGATAACATTAAGAAGGTCTCAATCCAAAGAAACTTTAACAAAACATAAAGGCCAATTTGGCCAAACAATTTGCCACTTCTTTTAATAAGGACATTGTTGACATAGAGTAGGTCGATAAATCCATAACCCATACATATATACACAAGGGTTGTCCGTATAATTACATATGAGACATTATATACAATAACGTTAGAAAATAGGCATAAAACAGATTAATCTACAGTAAGTATTTATATACATAAAGACATTCTATTTTTTATTTTTTTTTATAACATTTGAAGAATGACTTGGAATATAGACAGTTCTAATCAAATAACATTTTGGGGAAGCCCTAAGAAGGAAGCATGCACCTTTTCCTACGATAAGGACATATGTACATTGTCCGTACACTTGCAGATGGGATATTTATATAAAATAGTATTAGAAAATAGATAAACATAATCATCTAAATTACGGTGAAAAATGAAAAATGAATCCAATCCGAACGTACTGAACTTGTCCCCATAAAAACTAAACTCGTACTCCCGAACCGTTAGGTAATCAAAACCGAGACTTGCTGAAAATTTTAGTATGGTATTCGGAATCCATGAAGGGTTTGTTGGATAAAACTACACCAAACCAAACCGACAATGCTCTTATTAAAAGAAAAATTAATGAAAATGGTTTGAAAACTTTGAGTTTTAACGAAAATAACAAAATAAAAGGTAAAATGAATAGTATCAGGAATGATTTTTTAATGTAAAAATATAATTTTTTTTTTTAAGTAAACAGTACCCGGAACTTTTCGTTAAAGTTTCTTTTATTAAATGAATTAATATTAATTGTTGGATTTCCTTGAGATTGAATCTTAAAGCTCTGTTTAGAATCAACTCTCTCCTTGTTGGGTGCTTCTCTTTCTGTCGACTCATTTTGCAACTTCTTTGGCCACACTACACCACCTTCGACCTTCTCTCTTTATATCCTTTCGACCCTCTCTGTTTACCCTCTCCAGCGTCATTCCCCACCACCAACTACTTTATCATCTCGTCGTCGACCTCACATATGTGTGCTCTCTCCGGCGTTCAAGGTAAGATTTTGCTAAGATTAGGGATTTCTGGTGATATTTCGAATTTGATTTTAGGGCTAGGGATACCAGCTGCCTCAGACGGGAATCGGCGCCAGATTTGGAGAAATGGCTAGCGTCTTGGGACGGTGGATTACGGCGCTGGCCCAAGGTACATGCAAAGATCAGTTTACCTAAATTAACCTACCAAATACTGAATTTTTTTTTCCGTGCTCCCAATTTTAAATAAACCGAAAAAATCAATTCGGGTTCGGTTATTTTATTCATCTACCGAAATTATCGGTTCGAGATTTTTGGTATGAAGCCCTAATCTAAATCATCCCTCATCGCTACTTTTCTCTTACTCTATTTTATGGGTTTCAAGTTATTAATCACTAACCAACTAGGCAGACGTGTGTATTAAATCAAGTAATATATACATACATACATATATGTATATATATATATATTTATTTATTTATTTATGATGAGGAACAAGTGGGTTATGCAGAATCAAGAAATGTGTTTAATTTCATATGGGCAATAAAAGAATTGGAAGTTTCTGAGAAGGACTAAGTCTAAGTGTAACTAAACTTAGGAGGAGCGTGCATCTGCAATTAATTTCCAAAAGACGACTTGTGCTAATCATAATTAATTAATTAGTTGCAACAAGATTCTTGCAAGAAAAGTATTACGTTTATCAAAAAGAAAATGTTATTGATACTTTAAAATTTTTATTCTACACTTTTATCAAATGTATTTTTTTTTTCTAATATAGAAAGTTTAAAATGTAAGATAATATTTTCGAAATGCTTATAACAATTCCGTTACTAAAACCCATAGTTTTCCTTTCAACTCGTTCCTATTTTTAAGTCCTGGTTTTTTTTTTTTTTTTTTTTTTCTTTGGTAATCTTTTTAAGTCCTGGTTTTACCAAACCCTAATTGTCCACTCCATCCAGACAAACAGGTGGACCCCACATACATACGACAAGTAGCAACTCCCACATCCAAAAGGTTAAATATTAATTATTCAATTAAAAACTAAAAAACAAATAAATTATTTATTAAAGTAATATTATAATCTTTACACAAGAAATTAATAGAGAGAGATAAGAACATCAGCAAAATTAGAAAAATGCAAAGACAGATGAATAGACAAGTAATTTCACTAGAATTAAGTTAAAACCCTCTAAAATCCCAAGAAAATTAAACAAAATGTTTCAGACTACTCTAATGAAAACCAGAGATTTTTCTTGAATTACACAGAAAATATTAATTTTTTTGACCTTCTAGACAAGTTGGGTTCCTTCAAAGCCATGAAGGAGGTGAGAATTTGGAGCATCCATAGTAGGCAGCAAAGGAAATTCACCACCAAATTCCTGAATAAACCCCTCCAAATCTGCAAATCTCTCAAGAAACCCACCAGATTTTTCTGCATTCCACATCAGCCCTTCTTCTCCCTTAATTCTTTCTCTCGATTGGTCCACAAATCCCTTGCACCCAGCTCTCATCTTGTCAGCCATGATCAATGCATTCTTTTTGCTGGGTTTCGGTTCTTCTCTGTTGGGTATACTTGTTGGGTTTTTCTTGTTGTTCCTCCTGTTGCTGCAGCCGCCGTTTTCCGATGGTTTTCCGGTGAGTCTCTGAACCAGCTCCCTGAAGTTTGCCACGTCAGTCTTGATAATCTCTGGGGCATATATGTGAATAATTCGGATTTTGGGCTTTGGTTTTGATATTGTTTGTGAGTGTCTGTGGATTGCAAGTGCTTCTGGCATATTTAAGCAGAAAGTTTGCTTCTTGGTTAGTGTCTGAGCCTCCTCCATGGGAAATATCTAGAGAGAGAAACAAGAAAGAGAGGGGTCTGGGTCCTTTGGGAGAGATAGGGGGATTGAGGAAGTTGGTGTAATATTTGTTCAGAATTGTGGTGAAGGTGAGGTTTATATGTAAGGGGAAAAGAATAATAGAAGGGGTGGTTAGTTGTCATTAATTTAAATTGGGAGGACAAATGGAAAAAAACTAAGAAAAAGAACAAGATGGGAGAAAAAGGCTGGCTTTTGGAGGGAGGGGTTGGATGAATCCTTGTGTGGCAAAACGTTAAGAGTCAATGGAGAGATTAATGGAACTCATTGGTCCCCTCTTTTCCAATTGGGATTTCATTATAATTTGTATGTGTATATTATATGTATGTTATGTTTTGGTAGACGATGTGCAAAGTTGTATGATGTATCTTTATCATACATGACATGCCCCAAATCATCCCAATTTTCCTTTCAACTTGTAATTAATAAGCCAACGGTCTTGTGTTTGAATCGCCCTCCCCCGTAAAATAAAGTTTGTGTAGATTGTTCTATCATTTGTCCAAAAAAAAATGTCAATTGCAAAATTGTAATGCATGTAGTTTGTTAATTAGGGTTGAATCACTTAATACGCTATTTAAATATACAAAACTGATATACTTTATAAAATTCACATTTAACGCATTTGGCATAGTCTAGTTTGGTCTAGTGTGGTAATGTAACAAGCTAATAATAGTGATAACCAATAAGAAGATGCAAGGGCCACAAAATAAGAAAATTAATGTAGTCGGAGTGGTTCTTTTTAAGAAGTATGTGTATATCTAATAACACTAGATCGTAATACTAATGACCAATCTCTGTATCTACAAACTTTTTATGAGGAAAAAGTTCACTTATCCTCTCCATCTCCATATGGGTAATATGTCATTATGCATGGATTATATATGGATCATTACACAAAACCGTACGTGTAGGTAGAAGAAAAACAAAGTCATGGCCGGTTCATGGCTTGCACAAGCGTACGACAGCGGTACCTAATCCCGCGTTTCAGGCCAATACAAATTCAACAAGATCTAAAACTTGCTATGAGAAGCAAACCGACGAGCAACCACATTTTTTAGGTTAAAGTAATCTAAATAAACTGTGTACAATCCAGCAAAGCACGCGGCAATAGTCGAGTGCATGATGCCTGTAGCTGGGTAGAATCGAAGAAAATAATTCAATTAGCTGTGTATACTAGTATGTGTGTGTATGTATATACAGTTCTTCTATACGACCATATATTGACAACTTTAACTTCACAACATCGATATCCATAGTATCAACAATAAAGACAGCATACCTATAGCATATCGACTACATATATATCTGCATTTTCTTTAAATGCAGTTAACTGTAACCTAGGAGGGTAAGCACATATCACGACTTCAAATCATGCATGTCACTAAGGAAAGACCATGTTAATTTTGAAAGCTACCTCATCCAAAAGTTAAGTTTGACAATAATTAAACTTATTAATTTTGAGACGATATCTATTTTGATAAGGGCAACAGTACTATTCCATCGTATTCAGATCAATCTACCCATGAATAGTGAGTTATGTTATATTACAAAACTATCGATATGAACCAGTAATAACATGGACGTTGTTAAATATTGGTCTAATTAAGTTGAGTACTTAAACAATGGAAGATTATTTACGTAAGAGAATCTAATTATCTTTCATAGTTATGTATATAAAAGCAAACTTGTACGGATGCATGCGGTATATCTCACTTGCTAAATTGCAAAACCGACATGGATGTCAATCTCTTAACCATTAATTTTGTCAATATGCTTTCACCTCATAGCTACACGTACAGAGAGTACCTACCATGCATGGCCGGTTCTAAGTATTGTCACTACTCACTTACGGAGCTTTCGATCCCAAACACTTAGGCAAAACCCAAACAAACTCATTTGTTTAACTCTTAATTATCTTACAAATTCATAAGATAATTATATTGACTGTGTCTTTGCACTGGATTTAAGAATGGGTCTCGCACTAGGCATCATGTATAAAATGAAGAAAGCAAAACGATATAATAGCATGTAATGGACAAATGAAAACATTCGGTAGAATTTTGTAACTAGGCATAAGTGAGATTAGGATAGGCCTAAATACATTAATTAGCAGTATTTTCTTAACAGAGGTCTCGTTTTACTGTAACAAAACAAAATAGGCATATGATTCGTTGTAGGATTTAGTATTCATCATATAAAATCTCTTTTGTTTTGCTCAAGAATACGAGATTCATATTCGATAAATCATCCTGCTAAGAAATGTTGATAATGCTACTAGAAGGTATGCATGAATGCATGGCATATAAACAAAATGTTTAGGTTAGAATTTTGCTCGGTGGCGGATGACTGCTTGCAGAACAATTTGTTCAACTGCTTAAACTTTTTGACCTTTTTACACGTTCATGCATGCAGGGAAAGGAAGTCATGCCAATGAGAACGCAACCCTTAAATGGTGTTTTACTTTTTAATCTTACCGTTAGAAGGGAAAGATTTTAAAATTATTACAATAATTCAAAGGAGAGAGAGTTTCGAACCTGGGAACGCATGATAGAAATTCAATAACCTATTATACTAGAATACTGCACCACATGTAAAGCAGAAAAAAGTTTTTAGGCAGAAACACTTTTTTTTTAAGTCTCTATGCTCTATTCGTAGAATAACATTGTTGTATAAAACTGACACTAAACACACATTCTCGTGTCTATAAATCAAACTGCACAGTTTTTTAGTATATGCATCAACAAGATGCATGAGAGATCTCCCATTCATCAAAGATTAATAATTTGTACAATAAAAGAAATTAGGAATTTAATTAGAGCTTCTTTTTTTTTTTTTTTCCGGGTGGAGAGCATGATAAATAATTGGGAGTTTTAATGAAAATCTCACGGTACTGTTCACTTTAACGAAAAACCATATTTTTACATTAAAAAGTCAAACCTGGTACTATTCACTTTACCTTTTATTTTATCCTTATTATTAAAACTCAAAATTTTCAAATTTTTTTCATTAGTTTTTCTTAAATAATTTGATAGCCGGCAGATAAAATATTTTATGTAATACTATTTATTCGATATTTGAGTGTACGGGTGAAAGATCTTCCGGTTTTGATTCGGCGAATAATAACCGTCGGATGTGCACGTGATGAACTGACACCCTTGAATCCATGATGATGGTGTTTGCGTCATCGGGGAGAGCACACGAGTCTCGTGCGTGCCGGCTTGGGCCGGCCCACGGCCCAACTCATATGCATGATATGGTACGATATTATGTGATGGCATCTTTTCACTCACAGCGAAGACTCAATCTCAACTGCCACGTGGCGACGTGCGTGCTGTGGCTCCGAAGTGGGAGCCAATCCAACGAGAAAGAGTGCGAGGCCACTTTTTTGAATTTTGAACTTTTTTTTTTGTTTTTTGTTTTTATTTATTTTAATAAAATCTTGACATCCTTCTTAATTAGATAATAGGTTAAATTATAGCAGAAGTCCTTAAACTATACCATAAGTTTAGTTTTGGTCTATGAACTTTTTAATAATTGTTCTCGTCTTTGAATTTTGTAATGTGTTGCACGTGTGTCCCTTTCATAATTCCGTCAAATTTTCTATGAAGTTAAGGGGTAAGATGGGTATTTTATCCAAAGATGAAAACAAAATAATAACATGAGAAAAATGGAGCAATTAGAATTTTTTTATCTCAACTATTGTAAATTCTTTATAATTAGTTTGACTTCGTAAAGTTAAGGAGGAGTTTCTCTTCAAAATACTTTGTGGCCTATTCACCAAATTTCTTACTTATGATCGAAACCGTTCATATTTTGTTTTTTTTTTTAACAAAAAACCGTTCGTATTATAAATCACTATGTAAAGATCATCTCTGCAAAAAATTATTTTAAGGAGTTCTTCCTCAATCCTTGAAGAGCCAGGTATTTCTCTTTAAAAAAAAATTATTTTCTTATTTTTTTATAAAATTCTTATTTTATCCCCTCAACTTAACAGATGAGTTGACAGAGTTACTGAAAATGACTACTGGTGCAACAAAGTGACATAATTTGAGGACGAGACAAATTATTAGTAGAATTTAAAGACGAAAAATAAACTTATGGTATCAATCAAGGACCTTTGCTACAATTTAGTCTTAGGTAAAATTAGAACTTGGGTTGCACAACATCCCTCTTCTCTTGTAAGCTTAGCTGGATGATCTTGTTCAAAGATCGTATAAAAAAATGCTCTTTGAAGCCTTGAGTAGGATTTTAGGCTCTTTCAAATGAGTTAGGTTTTTGTTTTTTTTTTTTTTTTTCCTAGTGTGCCATCGTTGGCTTAGACGAACGGAACGATTTGTATGTTGTTATTGTTAGATCGTTAATTTGTGCCATAAGTAAATCAATTTTTTTATTAAAAGACTGTACCATAGGAATAAATATATATTAAGTTCTTTTCTGTGCCTTGTTACTAAGGCCTTCATATATTTTATTTTTGTTATATCAAGTGATAATCACAAATTAATCGAATCTCATTTCACCTCAGTTTGCAATTCTCATGTAAACGTTAGACAGAATGTAAAACAAGTTATATGAGAAAGAAAAGACGGTAAGTAAGTTAAATATATATTAATTAATAAAATATAATAAATATATAAATAAATGGACCTATTCATCTTTCTACATGTTTCTACATAATATATATACACACACACATACGATAATCCATCATTTTATTATTCGTATTAGTAGTTATTATCTTTTCTTGTCTTATAAATTTCATTAATTTAATAAAAATTAAATGTATTTCCTAAAAACTCCCACAGAATTCGTTATAATGCGATCCAACAAAAATGATTCTTAGTGGGAGATTATTTTCGGGAGATATAGAAAGATGCAAGACCTTGTTAACTAATTCCACGGAAGAAAGTGAAAGAATTCACTCTTTTATTTTGTTTAATAAAGATTTTCTAAAAAGTAGGTTGCAGAGCTTTGAAGTCTTTATGTATGTTGAATTGAATGTTCTTGTCTTCTACCTTTATGTTGCCTTTATAGAACAAGCTTTCCTTCGAGTTTAAGCTTTTCCTCTTAGATCATTCCTCTCTGATCCCAGTTGCTGATGTGACCACTATCAGAGAATAAGTTCTCAACTTTATCCCTGTGAAACTACCAAACTGTCATCTGAAAGCATCTTCCTTCTGTAAAAAAACCGGCTGAGTTGCCATCGTTAGTGTGTGAAGGAGGGCTT